ACCCAGAATCCACTGCCGTCAAGTTGATTCTGACTCATGGCAGCAAGCCTTGAAGACAGAGGACAACTGCCCACAGTGTTTCCAAGGCTGTCAATCATTAGGGAAGCAGACTGCCGCATCTTTCTCCCTTGGAGCGGCTGGTGGGTGTGAACTGTGACCTTTTGGTTAGCAGCAAAGAGAATTAACCACTATGCCCACAAACTTCTTCTCAAAGTTTTCCCCAATTGTTGCAAAGAAACGGAGGTAGATAGGCTATCAAATGTTAATGATACAAATGTCCCCCAAAAACATAAGGTTAATTAGCGAGAGATCTAACAGTATTGAATCACGCTGAGAAAGTTCATCTTACCTCTTACATAATAGCGCACACCAGCTCTGAAACAACTCCTTCTTGAGATGAGAATCCAATCAAAGTATTTTCCATTAATCGAACATGAGTGCATAGAGATAACTTCACTACATTAAGAAAAATGTAACATATGCAGGAATCCTATTATTTCCAGATTCAGTATACTCTTTTCAATAATTTTTTTAACCCAGTGAGAATGACTCCATTTTTAAGAGAAAGGCTGAAAATGTGCAAATCTTTCTGGTTTTCATGACCACCAGCCCTCCCCACCCCCCAAATAAACCACCAAACCCACTGCCACCCAGGAGATTCCGCCTCACAGCAAACCACACGCCCGGATGTGCTTCTTCATAGGAGCAGCCGTATCTTTTTCACGTAGGACAGGGAAACTACATTTTTATAAAGGACTATCTCACCAAAAGATTTTCTACATGTAAAGCCCAAGTTGTTTCTCCTAAGGCTGGTGACAGTGCGTGCTGTACGGTGATCACTGCCCCTCGGTCATGTGGAGGAGCGCGATGTGTGGAAACTGAAAGGCTGAGCTCTCCATTTCATTCCAGAGAAAGGGTTTGAGAAGCCTGTGTTGTTGGGACACCTCGGACATTAACAGAGGTTTTTATTGTTGAATACAACACTCACAGCACATCATGAATGTGCACAGTAAGAACGTACAAAACCACCCGCATGGCCACCAACACCTTGGAAGCGCCCTTCAGAGTAACCAGCCTCCGCTGGGGCCATTTTCCTGCTTGGCTTTACTGTTTGCCACCATACAATTGGGTTTTCCGTTCAAATAGGTTTTCACCCTTGTATTCCTCTTAGCATTAGAGAAACTGCACTACGAGCACTCTGCTGACTTGTACACGGTCAACGTCACGCTCATGTGGTCCACTGGCTGCAAGGGCTCCCTACCATTCTACGGCGTGACTAGAACCCACACCAAGCCTGCCACCGGGTCACTTCTGACTCCCAGCAACCCCACAGGGCAGAGGAGAACTGCTCCCTGGGTTTCTGAGGCTGTCCGTCTTGATGGGAGCAGACTGCCCTCTCTTTTCTCTTGCAGTGGCTGGTGGATTGGACCTGCTGTTGTGGAGATGAGTGGTCCAACACTTAGCCCACTGTGCACCAAGGCTCCTTCTGTATGAATCAACTACAGTGTCTGTATCCAATCTACGGTCAAAGGTATGTAGCCCCCCTCTGTAGCCCTGCTTCTGCATCACTACATTCCCCCTTTCTCATGCCCAATGTACAACCTGCCAGCAAATCCTGTTTGTGTTACCTTCTGAGCCTACCTACCGTCTGACTACTTCTCACCACCACAGCTGCGATCACCCACCCACTGGGCCAATTTCAACTCTCACCTGAGTTAGTATGCTCACTCACTACTCACTGCCGATTCTGACTCACGGCAGCCTTTAAAGACAGGGTAGAGCTGCTCTGGTGGGTTTCTGAGGCTTTAAGACTTTGTGGGACTAGACAGCCTCATATTTCTCCTGCAGAGCACCTGATGATTTTGACCCGCAGGCTGCCTTGCAGCTAGCAGCCCAACTCATAACCCACTACACCACCAGAGATTACTTCAAGTGTCTAATTGTTCCTGTAACTCTCCTTGCTGGCCCCTTGGCCTTTTCTCCACATCTATCCCAGGGATCAGCCGTATCGTGCAGACCCTTTGCTCAAATCCCCCAAGGGCTTCTCATGAAAACCAAAAGCCCATGTCCTGGCCTACCAGGCCTTGGGCAGTTTGGTCCTGGAGTCTCTCGGTGCTACCGACAGTTACCGTATCTGGATGTAGCAGAAGGGGATCGGTGGGAGGCCACCTGAGGGATCTCAGAAGAAAAGCCTGGTATACACCAGGCACAGCAAAGCTGACGGGGGACATTGTTAAAAGCACCCAGAAAAAGGGTGAATGATCTTGGCACTGCATGTCCATTCACAATCTCATTTTGAAATAAAACCCAACTGGCCCAATTTCATTCACACCCTCCCTCGGTATGCCACCGTAATAAACCATTTAAGCCCATTGTATTTATAATGCAGGCTTTAAAATGCACAGTACTTGCACGTAATTTCTACTTAAAACACACAAAGATGCAAACAGGAACCAAAGCACATGATGGAAATCTGGGATCAGCTCAGGGCCTGTAACTGGGCGCTCCTTTTCTTCTCTTCACTACACAGATGTCTCTTCCCAGGCTTTAACTGCCTTAAAAGTGCCTGCTGGGAACTTTCCCCAGTGCCCTCTCTTCCTCTTACAGCCGCAGCACACTGTGCTGGCCAAGCTTCTTGGAGAAACCTGCTAGAGCGCCGGCACTCCCCCCACCCCCGGTTTCTGCGGGGCGGAGCACTTATGAGTGCAGACACTTGTCAGCACACGCAGGGCTCCTTCCTCAACCACCGGCTGGCTCGGCTTCCCTATTAGTATCACCATGTCTACGGCAAAGACAGGTTCTTCAAACTACCTTACAATGAGCTAAGCCTTACTCATTTTGCATCTGTACCAATGATGTCTCCTCTACAAGTGCTTGCTGTAAGGCGCCCTCTGGTGGTGCTGTGGGCGAAGCCAGCCCGCTGGCAGTCCCCACCAACCAGCTGCTGTGTGAGAGAGAAAGAGGAGGCTGCTCCTGGAAACAGTCCGTCTTTCCAGGAAAGGGTCGCTGTGAGTCTGAAAGGACTCAACGGCAGTGGGTTTGACTTTGGGTTTTAAAAATTATTCTTTGTGCTCCAACTGTGAGTCTCCTCTCCACGCTGCTGGTCACCCCAGTTCATGACCCCAGATTTTTTATGGACCAAGGAAGGTTTTCATTTCAACAGTAAGAGAAGGGCACAGTGGCGCTTTGTAAGGATACAGCCATGCAGCACGGGAAGAGCAAACCGATGAACCTGAAAG